AAATTTTTTTTTTAAAAAAAAAAAAAAACAAAAAAAAAAAAAAAAAAAAAAAAAAAAAATATATATATATATATATATATATATATGCTATAAGCAATTAGAGTCTAGAATTAAATCCGTTATTTATGCAAATATGTGACTCTTCGGTGTTTAATCCGTCTGAACTTGTGGCCACGCCCACCAACTCCTCAAGGATCTTTAGCTTTTATCTCTGTTTGCAGTCAGATGTCTTTTACTAGACTTTGCAAAGTAAAACCACTCCGTCAGCTGTCTTAACTTTAGTTATCGTGTTTTAAACTAAATTATGTGGCATTGATTTCAGTTTTTCTAAATGAGGAAATATGTTATTGGCTTTTTGCAACTGTGTTGAATTTGAATGAAAATTTTTTAGCCACATGAATATTTAAAATCTTTCAAGTTTCATCAGATTTGGTGTGTACTGAAGGGCGTGTTCAGCACACAGACAGCTTTCGTTTGGGGAGGTTTGGTGTATGACTCACTGTGGGCTCTGTTTCCACTGGGTGGGCCCCTGGATCCCTCTCTGCTCTTTAATGCGCTCATTTCGACCTCCCCTCCTTCTCTTAAAGGCAGACCAGCCATCTTTCTCCTCACCAGGGTGGAGTTGGTATCAACATTCCAATAAAACAGCCAAATTAAAGCATTCAGATTTAATAATCCGATGGGAGGATATATTTTATGATGCTTCAGTCTCTCTGCTGAAACTGAATCCAGACGTTTCATTGGGTTTTCAAAGCTTTCACACTTTGATATATATTTTTTTTTCACATTTCAAGTAACTGCAGAAAAAAATAAATTTCACAGTTTCACGTGGAACATTTTAAGACAATGAAAACTTTAATTTAAGTACATTTATTTAGTGGAGGAAAAAACTCAATCTCAAACTACAAAATAAATGTTTTCAACATTCATTTTGTGTGCTTTAATTTCTACTCCACCTGTTGAAGTTGCTTGGTGTGTCTGCAAAACTATTTAGCAATACACCACTTGCTGTTTTCTCTGGGTGTAAATAGGACATGGTAGAGAATTTAAAAGGTTGAAAACAAATCATGTAATTTAAGCAAGGCAGATGTACACTGAAATTCAAAAATCAGGAAATGACAAAAGGAAAACAGCAACTGTATAAAAATAGTTTTATACACACAGCCAGATATAAACAGAACTTAACAGAGTTTTGCTTGTTGTCGGACTGCAGCAAAGAGGGGCATCTTGTCAGGTCACCGTAGCAACCTTCAGGAGTGATTTCTATGGTCACCGGTTGTTTGGACGGGATGCAGGAAAGAATTGCTGTCCTACCACCACAAACTCATAAGTGTGGAGTTTGTGAATACCAGCTGGACCTTTAACTTTCAGATTCTGTAAAATGAGACTAAAGCTGAGCCGTTTAAATGCTTTTAGCAAACAAACACTGCATGCAGGTGAAGAAAGGGAGTATATCAATATGAAATATTTTAAATAAAAGATATGTTTTTCATTATTTGGTAACACTTTATTTGAAGGGGGGTGAATAAGACTGTCATGACACTTTCATAAATATGACATAACACCTGTCATGAACATGAATAAGCCTTCATGAATATTTATGACTGTTGTCATAAAGCATCATTCGGTAAATTATGACACTTTTAATACAAAGTTGACATTATTCAAAATGTCTTTGTTATGACAACTTGACATTAACCAAGAAATCATTACTGTTTAAACTTTACCTTTAATAACATAAAGTTACCTAATTTTTAAAGTGCAATCAGTAATTATTTTATAACAAATTTATATCAGTAATGATTTGTTAGCATAGCCATCAAAACGGGTTTTCTGTGGTAATGTGAGTTATTTCTCAACATTGCCACATGTGCCAGCAGTACATGAGGATGATTGACAGCACTAAGACCCTCCTCCTGGCTCTGATTGGTTGCATTTCTTCAGATGGCCACCACAGCACAGGGAGGAGGTGGAAGAGCTTGGTCTTGTCACAGATTTTTTTGTCTCGTATTATATATGTGTCATGACACGGTTTTAACAAATGTAAAAAACATTTTTTTTAAAGTTTAAAGTGCAAAAACATCCCAATAATTTTGCATTTTCTTGTCAGAGCTTCGTATGGTTTCCAGGGTGGAAACGCTGACACAAGGTGTTGGAGGACAGGTCTCATCACATCCAAGCTGCTCATATTGAAATTGATTTAATATTTAAAATGTATTTTATGACATAATGAGGGTCTCCCTGTCATACTGGTATGCATAAATGGAGAGGAGAGATGCCGCCTATGATTTAGCGGCTTCTGTTCACGTAATGAGGCTCAAACTTTCTCCATGTCTGAACTCGCTCAGTAGATAAATCCCACACATTCTGGAGGAAACGTTCAGTCACCTTCCCAATCAGCTGTTTGTCCGAGCAGGCAGCTGAGCTACCAGACTTGATTAGCTGATGTTGATGGAGAGAGAGATTCCTGTTGACATGTTGGCATTCCTGCCTGCTGAAACCAACACAGTTCTCCCTGTTAGCTCCAGCAGTAATTCCGCTTGCCCGCCTTCCATGTCTTCAGGATCAGAATTCCAGACGCATTCCAGTGGTTTTCCTCTCCAAACATCTCCCTCTTCTCCTAGAAAAAACAAAACAAAACAAAAAACACTTCACTGATGCAATGCAGATGTGCTACAGTCTGATCTGATGCGGGAACAACATTGTTACAATGTTTAACTGTAAATTGATTATAAGGTTGACTTTTATTACATTGTTTTCAGTTCTCATTAGTCTACTACTTTCAAAATTTCTGCTATATCCAGGTCAATTTATTAATAATCAAACTGAATTGCTGTTATTTATTTTTTAGCTTTATCAATCAATCAATCAATCAATCAAATTTTATTTGTATAGCACATTTCAGCAGCATTTCAAAGTGCTTTACATAATTAAAATAAAAACAGCATGTGACATTGAATAAACAGTGAGAAAGAGAAATACATTTTGAAAAAGATTAAAAAAGATAAAAACATTAAAACCCGCACCCCTTTTAGGACTTCAGTAAAATGTCATTTAACTGGGGCTCTAACCCTCTGGGACTTTAGTCAAAAACACCATTTGACAAGGACTCCAACCTCTAGGTTTTTAGTTGAAACGCCGCCAACTGGGACTCTTTATGCTCCTGTGCTTTGATTTATCTTTAAACTGAATTCAAAAAGCAGCTTGGACTAAATGTATGAAGTTACATGAACAACTAATAGATGCCTGGTTTTTAAATGCATGATGTAAAGGACAGTGATGGGTCATGAGCAAAAGCATCAACTATAAAAGCAGATGGTTTGTAGTGAATCAGAAGAGCTGGCTCCCACTTTTTTTCCCCTTATGCTGCTCAGCTCTCACACTCAGTGGCTCCGCCCTCCTCACAGCAGAACTTTGTTTTGATTGGCTTGTCTAATACGGACAGTCTTCTCGAAAACAGAGCAAATATTAACTAAGAGGACAAACCGCATCAACCCATCCGGCCTGAGGTGTTGGATTGTTTTGAATGCCAACCTTCAGTGCAGACATAGTTAGATTGCTGAGTTTAGTTCTTCTTGAGAGATTTGTTAAAAATGTTTCGGAACTTCGGAATGGGAAGTTCAAATATCAGAACTTCCCCATATTGATAAATATAAATCCAATACAGAAAACAGTGCTGAACTGACTTAAAACGTGTCTTTATTTACACACAGACATAAATGTACTGATTTACAAGCAGATGAAAAGTAGCCTTTTCAATATATCTTTAGCAATGCTGTTCATGTACAAAGTCACTGTAACATACGCCTATTCTATTCCATTGTTTAATGGTAAATATGTAATTCTCTTTCCTGATCAAGTTAAATTAAAGGTGTAAGTTGACCTAATGGAAGTCTGCTGAATGAATTAAGAATATATATGCATTATATATAATTTTTCCATAATTTCTTTATTTCAGGCCAGCAGAGGAACTGTTAAAGCCAGTGCTAACTTCAACGCCAGTGCAGATGCTGAAGTTCTGCAAAAAGCCATGAAAGGATTGGGTAAGATCCTCATCCTGCAGTCAAATCTGCAGCAGATCAGTAAATGTTTTAGGGAAGGCCTTCCTCCATCGGCCCCGGTGTAGTAAGCAGTGGTCTCCACCCACTCAGCCAGCAGTGAGTCATGAACACGTGAGCAGCTGAGGGTAACATGAAACTCCTCTGTGGGCGCAAACAGACCTGCTGACTGTGACGCTGAGCCGTGTTTGTGTGGGTTAAGCTGATCCAACCAAGAATCCTCCTGAATGGATCGGGCTTGTTATTGTAGTTTCATAACACGGGTGTCATGTGAGAGTCACTATCGCGGCTCTCCTGAGTAACCATGGTGTTTGTTGCCGTAGGGACCGACGAGGATGCCATCCTGCAGCTGCTGACTGCTCGCAGCAACGCCCAACGGCAGGAGATCAAGGCGGCCTACAAGACTCTGTTTGGAAAGGTCAGGGCGTATGTTCAACAGCGGCCGTTTCCTGTAGAGCTCGACCTTTAACCTCTAATGAAGAGTGAACCTGACATCACTCTGACCCTAGACACGTCTGTGTGGTGTCCTGAATTTAAGTCATTAAGTTATTAAATCACCTTCCAGTTTGCGTTAGCTAAATTCACTGTTGACAGAAGTTTACTTTTAAATGAGTGTAACTTTTATGGAAATTTTTTTTCACAAATTTGTTGAAACTGTTACTACATGGTGACGGTATGGTATGGCACAGATAATCTGTGAAAAAAATCAAACTTTGCCTTTTCTCGGTGCTAACTAGAAACAACTGGACAGAGCCATGAGGAGGGTGTTGGCGCTGCCAATCACCCTCTGTGACGCTGCTTATCCCTCATTTGCTCTCTCCTACACTGCAGTTAGCAGAGCCAGTTGTGAATGCTCAGGCTAGTTAGTATGACCACCGAAAACGGCATTTAAATTGTTTTCCTGTAATGGTGAGTTGTTTCTCCACCATTAGCACAATTAGCAGTGAGCACACAAGGTTGCTAAGGCACTTCTTTTGACTCAGATGGTTTTTGATTGGGAGTGGTGCATTTCTACAGATGGCAACAGTAGCTCAGGTAGAAGGTGGAGGAGATCATTTTTTTCATGGGGTTGCTTGAGATTTTTATCTGCAGGACAGTGGAGTGGTCTAGCATAAAAGGTTGTGTATGTTGCCTTATCTAATATATTTATGCAAAAAAATATTTTAACTCCTGAGATTTTATCTCAGCCTGCTGTTCCACATAATGTTTTTCATTAAACACATTGCTACCACATTTAGAGGTGTCAAATGTTTAGAAATGCATACAGTCAATCTGTACTGGTAAGAGCAGTTAGCATAGCAGCTGACCGCAGCAGTAGCCAACCACAATGTTTTTCAAACAGCTGGTTAAACTGGGTCTGACTTCAGAGGTGAATGGAACCAGAATTGTTTCACTCTCCATCTATAACACCATTAGTCTATAAAAGCTTTAAGTTATTATAAATGATGCTACAGATGTTTGATTGTGAAACCAAAGATGACTACAAAGGAAAATCACTAGCTAGCTTAGCTATTGAGAGCCAAAACCATGACTTTAAGGTTAATTGGTCTTTCAAAATTGCCTTTAGCTATAAGTGTGTGTCTGTGACGAACTGGTGACCTGTCCAGAGTGTATCCTTCCTCTCACCCAGTAAACTCTTTAGATGGGCACCAGCCCCCATGTTGACCCTGCAGGGATGAGTCTCAGAGACGCATCTGAAACATTTTTGAGATGCATTGTGATGCGATAACTTTAATGTGTTCTTTACGACGTCAGGATCTGGTGGACGACCTGAAGGGAGAGCTGGGCGGTAAATTCGAGACGCTGATCGTGGCTCTTATGACTCCGCCTCTCACCTACGACGTGACATGCCTTCGGAATGCCATCAAGGTATTAGACATGAGGCTGATTTAAAGTTTTCACTGGCTCTCAATTGAATGTTTTTTGTTTTTTTTTGACATTTTCCTCTTTTGACCTGTAGGGGGCAGGAACAGATGAGAAGGTTCTGGTGGAGATACTTTCCTCTAGAACAGCTCAGCAGGTGAAGGACATAGTCGCTGCTTACAGACAAGGTGAGGCTTCCACAGATGCTCTGTTGATCCCCTGACACAGAGCTCTTTGAGATCACCACACTATAATTTGGATGAGAAACTGTTCAACATAAGCAGCTATTAGAATTTTTTCCCACCAAATCACTTCCAGTACTAGATTGCGCATGTGGCTCCAGTCTTGTTAAGAACTGGTTTGGTGTTTCAGTTCCAGAGAGAAGAGTCAGTGCTGCTTCATTACATGACTAGGAATCTGTTGTAGTAAATGCTGGATTATCTCTTAGTTTTTGAGTATTTTTTTTTTGGACTAAGGCCTCCTTATGTGGGTTGAGTACTTTACCCCTGCACCACCGCTGTGCCCATCTTTTGAGTTTTTCTATGGGCTCACTGTGGAGAGAAATGGTTGATTCATTCAAATCAAAACAGACGGAGGGTGGATCTCATGCACCATAAGCATCATAATAGCACTTGATTTGGGGTCAGGTCGTTGTCCAACATTAGATCACAGGTGATGTGTTTCCATTCCAAATGTGCTCAAGACTTTGCAATCACTGTGATTCCTATACAAAACATAGTTAAAGTCACATGTGAGTAAGTTTGTTCATGCAATAAGTTATTAAAAAACATGCTACGCCAACTACTTCCTATCTTTTTCTTTATTTGTGCCAGTGGCAACATCCAGGTGTTGACCATGTGACTTGTGTGATGCCAAAAAAGTGTTTCCATTGTAGTTTTGCGAAATAAATATTTTTTTATACGGCCAGAAAAACCACCTCAACCGAACACTAAAGTTGTTTTGGTAACACTTTATTGAAGGGGTGTGCAGAAGACTGACATGAGACTGTTATAAACATGACATAACATCTGTTATGTACATGAAGGAGTCTTTATGAATGTCTGACTGTTGTACTGAAGTGTCATTTGTTAACTAAAGACACTTTTAATGCAAAGTTGACACTTTTAATGGACTTTTAGACAGTGTTATATCAGCTTCATGCACACCCCTTCAAATAAAGTGCTGCCATTTTTAAATCAAAAAACGAGAGTTTTTGTTTTTAATTAATTGCCATGTTTCTGTTAAGCAAATGTATTTTTGCAGCTTGTGACATTTATGCAACACATTTCCTCTCTTGATGCCGCTATCATTAAGAGAGTGATTGGACATTATGCTGCGACTGGTTAACAAGATTCAGCTTCACACACGCTTGACTCTTCTTGGTCAAAAAAACTGATTGTCACATTTAAGCTCAACATGTTCATTCTGCCTACGTTCTGGACAGGAGACGTTCTTTAGCCTCTGGTGAACAGAAGAAGCTCCTGGGTTGGAAACAAATCAAAGTGTTTGACACACAGTGGTTGTGTTTGTGTATCCCTCAGAGTATGACGACGACTTGGAGGAGGATGTATGTGGGGACACATCGGGTCACTTCAAGAGACTCCTGGTGATTCTGCTTCAGGTCAGTCTGAGTAGTTCCTCTTCTCTGGTTTTTCTCTTCTCTTCTGTTTTTACAGTATTTTTTTAAATCTCCTTCCAGGCAAACAGGCAGACGGGAATCCAGGAGGGCAACATCGAAGCTGATGCTCAGGTGAGTCTGTATTTTGTTTTCTCTGTGATGATGGTGAAGCATCATGCAGGATCTTCTGATCAGCTCTCCTGAATGAATGCAGTTAAGAGCCATTTTGTGTTGTTGTGTTGTTTCTTTGCGATTCAGAGACAGTTTGATCTGTTCATCTCACTCTCTTTTTCTCTCTTTTTGTTTTCTTTACTGCAACATAAATGCAATCCAGAAATGTAAGCCAGTGCCTCTACATGAATTTAAAGATATTTTATCAGGGAAATAAAACAAATCATGACTTTGAAAGACAGGAAAACATCTTATTAAAATCTGTGCTGCAATTTTGTAAGAGACATTTTTAACATGATCACTCCTGCCAAACCCCCCCCAAAAACAAATAGGTTAAAAAATGGCTACTGTCTTTTTGTGTGATAAAATAATTACAATAAAACCAAACCAGCAGGTTGCATCATATCACACACAGTATCTGAATATTGAGTCAAAACTGTATGAAAGCAATTTTCTATCTAATATACATTTAAAAATAAACGGGGAAAAAAAACACAGCTAAATTTGATAAAAGAAGAGACAACATGAAAACTCTGATGAGGTAACGTCAGCATTTGGTCTGACAAACCAGTTAATGTAAATGCAGCTTGGATGAATAAAAAGCTTCCTGAACAGAAACAAAGGGGAACCACCAACAAGAGATAGTCGTTTCACCACTTTGCCATTTCATACCCGACCAGTTCTGCTTGGTTTGTAACGGACAAAATCTACCAACCATTCGTCAGCAAAACAACAATTTAAAATACAATTTATATATACAGTAATTCATCTATAAACTTCCTTTGACTGATTTGCCCAAGGCCACATCAACATCTGGAACTGAAACCACAAACGTTCAGATAGACAACTGTGGCATGGTTGTAATTTAAAGTAACTGTACTTCATTCATCATATACTAAATAAATTAAGTGTTTATATGATGCCAATACATAATATCTTTCAGTAGGAGATCACATAGAGCTATTTAGGGTCAGAGGTCATATTTTAAGGGTAGTGAACGGATTGAATTTATGTAGTGCGTGTATATTCATGCTGACCACTTAAAGCTTTTACTCTACAGTCCCACACACACACACATCAGCACAGTAATACACAGATTATTAGAGAGTTTGGGATTAAAGCTGCAGTATGTAACTTTTATAAAAAAATATATATATATTAAAAAAAAATTGTTAAAATTATAATGTCGTGACAGTTTAATATAAGCCAGATAATCAAGAAATCAAGCTCCTCTGCCGTCTCCCAGTTCTTCCAGTAGTAACTGCAGAAACAAGTCAGAAACAACCTATCAAAGCCAGGAGGAGGGTCTCAGCGCTGTCAATCATTCTTGTACTCACTTCCTCTCGCCTGCTCTTGGTTATGCTACAGCTGATTCACCACAGCATAGTTTGCCGCTAATGCTAAAGCTAGTTAGCACAGCCACTGATGATGGCAGAAAAAGCATATATTTTTTAAAAGGTTTATGGGGTTAAAAGAGGAGAATGTTTGGATGTTATCAGCATAGTAATGAAAGGAAATGTTGTACTTCCTGTAATGTAAATAGAGCAGGAACTGAACCTGATCCCTGAGGTAATGATGTACATTACCTGCTGACTGTTGCAGAGGAATAGATTATGCAAATTAGCTCATGCTTTGCATTACTTATCGATACAGCAATCTTCAAGGCTTCATTAAAGGCTGCTGAACTGTTCAATAAATTGCAGGACATTCATTTCAAAATGTTCTTCCTCCAAATGAAAGTTTTAAATGAAATGACAGTCTGTCTGTAACAACGTCACTGCTGAAGATGTTTTTGTTCCTGCTTGCAGGCTCTGTTTAAAGCAGGAGAGGAGAAGTACGGGACCGACGAACAGTCGTTCGTTACCATCCTGGGAAACCGGAGCGCCCAGCACCTGAGGAAAGGTTTGTTTTCTCTTGTCAGCTGACTCTGAACACGACGTAGAGTTGATGGAATCTTGGAACAAGTGCTTTTCTATTCTCTGAGACAAACATAGGCAAAATAAACACATTAAACGTAGCTTTTAAACATGCGGATCAGACATCTTTAAGGTTGACCTCTGACCTTCTTCAGTCGAGCTGAAATCTGGAGCTGTGTTTCAGTGTTCGATGCCTACATGAAGATGTCTGGCTATGAGATGGAGGAGAGTATTCAGAGGGAAACATCTGGAGGCCTGAAGGACCTGCTCCTGGCAGTGGGTAAGAAAACTAATCCAACCTCCATGTAGGCACCTTCTTTAGCTTAATTCTCTGTTTCTTCTTCTAAATGACTGCATTTGTTTTTTTGTTTTTAAGTGAAGTGTGCCAGGAGCGTTCCAGCCTATTTTGCGGAGACTCTTTACTACGCCATGAAAGTAATACACCGTTTTTACTATCCATATTTTGTAATTAAATTTATACAAAGTTCCTGTAAGACCAGGCCAGAAATTCATTACTGCAGAAATGTGCCATCTTAGTAGGCAACCAATGAACAGCGTTGCATAGGAGCGTCATTATTGAGGATTAAATGAGTTTTTAAAGGCTTTTTCTGCTCTTTGATTTAACCAGTTCAATAACTAGCAACAGTCAACAAGTCATTTGTTGAGGAGGATGAGGAGGAGGACGATGATGTGATCGGCTGTGACAACAAGAATTGACCGCATGTGTGGTTGCATTTAATGTTCATATAGTTGATCTGTGTCTCAAAATAATATTTTTCTACTCTAGATATTGTAAATGTGAGCACCAGTAACAGCAAAAGATGCATTAATAATCAGATTATTAACAACAATGTGCCTCCTTCTCTGCTACCTGCTAAGTGTGACGCATAACAAATAATAGGAGTGTTAATATGAGCAGGTGCTGTCTATAAAAATGTGATTATAAATATGGTCACATAAATAGATATCACATCTGCTGAAGTTCAGCAGCGTCTCTGAATGTAATTTTTTTGATCAAGTACAGCTGTTGCAAGAAGAAAAAAATTATATTTGCACATCTACATTTTATATTTGCATTTCATACTTTGTGAAACGTAACAGTTTTGGTCACATTCAGAAACATTTGAAAACATCCTTACTGCTAATAAAGTGATCAGACTGAGTCTGTGCTGTATTAGATGATCTGTGTTTGTTTTGAAGGTTCATGGATGCTGCAGGGAATCAGATGAAGCTCCAGCAGCATGATGTGTGTGTGTGTGTGTTTCAGGGAGCAGGGACAGACGACAACACCCTCATTAGAGTGATGGTGAGCCGCAGTGAAGTCGACTTGCTAGACATCCGAGCTGAATTCAGGAAGATGTTTGCCTGCTCTCTGCATTCAATGATCAAGGTATGTAGACATAACAAATAACCCAATGACCCACAAAAACATGTTGAAAATCCCAAAAGGTTCCATAATTCTTCCTGTTGATGGCAGGGAGACACCGGCGGTGACTACAGAAAGGCTCTGCTGTTGCTCTGCGGCGGAGACGATGCGTAACTCCACCAGCAGGAACCTGGAGCGCCTCCTCATATAAACTTATCTTGTTTTGAGTGAGAGAGCATATCCATCAGGTCTTATGAAACCAAATAGTCTTTGGAAGGTAGCTAACATTTTGTCCACATTAATGCAGTCTTTTCTACTAATATTATTCATTTACAAAACCGAAGGACCAGATTCGTTGTTTTTCTTTGCACTTTGTATGTCGGAACCAACATATGCAACTTTAAATGTTCCACTGAATAAAGATCGACTGAGTTGATTGATTCTGTTTGTTTTTTTTTGTCTGTTTGTTTTTTTCAGTCGTACTGGTTTCTATTACACATGTAGTACTGTTAAAGGCCAGGAGAGGGAGACAGAGCAATTTAGATAAAATTCAGCGCCTCATTGTGGCGATATGACGCAAATTCCATTCATCAGATTGGAACTGATTAATGGAGCAAGACAGTTGGTGTGTTTCACTTCCTCTTTTGTTCTGCTGTTTGTAACAACGTGAAGCTTTTTTTTTCTTTCAGTTTAGTAGAATTTCTGCTGCAGGTCTTCAACATAAATAATGTGAAATATTGAGCCTCAACTACAGCTTGGAGATGGATACATTTGATATTTTTCTGCAGAACTTGGGAGCATCAGGCACGGAAAAAAATTAGGAGGCACCTGGTGGAATAGGTGGTGAGCTCATTATAGGCCCTGCTCTTCAGTGCAACGCTGGTAGAAATGTAAAAGGTTAATAGAGGAGCCATGTTGCAATGAGTTCCTGCAGGCGAAATTTCAAAAAGGGCAGGAGTTTTTAAAGAAACAGAGGCCCAATTTCTAGATGTTAGATTATGACAGTTGGTGTGTTTCACTTCCTCTTGCAGAGTCATATGTGATATATGCAGCATTTTAGAATCCAGAGGTAACATTACTTGGCTGGTTGTGCAATAAAATGGCACACTCCCTGGAAAATCCACAATACGGCCCTTTTAAGACCATCTAATGGTCCTGTGAATATAAAAAATGATTGAAGTTAGAAACTGGAATTGAAACGACTGATGTCTTTTACTAACAAATTTTCTCCTTAGAATTTTACGCAGAACTTCTCAACCAAACCATCAATTCATGTTTAAAATCCTAAATCATCCATCTTTTCTTATTTTTCACTTCCACTGACTGAGCCAGAGTTTATTCTTTTCCATTTATTTGTTTTTTCTTAATGTTCAATTTTGGATTAAATGTATAACTTTTGGGGTAAAAAGACTTGAACTCATTAGAGTAGACCAGTTTTGTCAAAACATAACCGAAAGACATTTGAACCCATTTAAATTAGTTCATGATGTTGGTTAGTAGTATAAAAATGCAGGTTATTCCCATTTTTAAAATTTAAATCTTAATTTAAAAACCATCAAAGACTTTGGCAAAAGAGCCTAAAAATGATGGGTTAAAAGTTCCTTCTTCCATATTTATTTTTCACAAAGTTTAACTGAAACCAAATCACTTTCATGTCTCCTTAACCTTGAACTGTAGGACCGGAGGAGCCAAACGGTTTCCAGTAGATGAGCTCTGAGGAATTCTCCTCTTCCCTGTTTTTCTGTGTCTCTCTCTGTTGGTGTGTCTCTGGAGTGAAAGGAGACGTTTTGTTACACCGCTCCACCACTCGCTGTTATTCTTTTCACAGACAGATTTGCTCCCGATTATTACCATGGAAACAGAGAGCCAATAAGGTGGTCCATACAGTAGGTTGTGAGTTCGGACCACTAGGAGCCACAGGAAGACAAACCCCCAGCTCCTCCCACAGTGTGTGTCTGTGTGGGCCTGGAACTGGGCTTGGGGGTGGGTGGCTGGACATTCATGCAGCTTTGTAGGTCAGACAGTGGAGAGCACATTTTTGTTTTGATGCGCCTTTTTTGTCTTTTTTTCTATTACGCGAGCCGCCCTTTCATTGCAGCCTCTGACTTAGTATGAAGTAAAAACATTCAGACGAACTGAATGAAGACGCTACTTCACTGCCTTATATTTGGGATCATAGACAGATTTTTATTACATCTGTCTGAACTCACACAATGCAAAGAAGTATCTATACCCACTTTTAGATTTCTGTTCCTCACATTTAAATGTTTCAAATCACCAAATATTAACATAAATATAATCATAGTAAATGCAAAACGACTACAGTTTATATAATTTTCAAATTTAATCAGCCAACCAGTCCAGATTATTTGTTGTAGACTTCAGTGACATGGCAGTTCAAAGTGCTTTACATCATGAAAACATAAACAAACAAACAAACAAAAAAAACATTAAGCATACAAACGCATCATACAGTTAGCAGTTGTGAAAACCAATATCAGACATTACAGTGATATTGTTAAAATGATCGGCAAACATCAAACATGTTGATCAGTGTTCCATTTATTACGGTTTGAAAACAACTCTAACAATTAGGTTTTTAGCCTTGATTTAAAGGAACTCAGTGTTTCGGCTGTTTTGCAGTTTTCTGGAAGTTTGTTCCAGATGTGAAGTGCATAGAAGCTGAATGCTGCTTCTCCATGTTATTAATAAAGACAAAATAGTCCAAACCAACTTTGCACTGTGTGGAAAAAGTAAACTCAAGAACAGATGATCAATAAAGTCACAGAAATCTACTAGTATGGAAATTGTTACTGGGCCATTTCTAAGGCTTTGGGACTCCTGTTCAAAACTCTGGGAGGCCAAAATACATACAAACTGAATGAAAACATCTTGATGATTCCGGGGGAGTTTTGGAAAAATATTTTGTAAACTGATGAGACAAAAGAAGAAGTTAGAGGGAGGTGTGTGTCTCGCTATATCTGGTGTAGCAAAGCATTTTAGGAAAAAAATAATAAACATTATAGAAAATAAATCAATGTGGACCTGGATGACGTTTTTCCCTTCACGAATGACAAAGTTGATACAAAATGCAATTATCAAATAACTGCATTTTGTATAAACTTTGTCTGATATAATTTGTTTGGTGATCTGAGACATTTAAGCAAAAGCAGAAGAATCATTTTAGAACACACAGAGTGGTATAATTTACTCCTTTTGAGGAAATGCAATATAAAAAACATATTTCAACAGACAAAAATCTTTTTTAAGGATAAGAAGCCTGAGCAAGCTAAAGTTGTTCAGTATTAATCTGACTGTTCTGTCACGAACTCTAACATTTAACAAGCTGGTGGAGGAATGTGGAGTCCTGAATGAACACCTTTTGAATTTGAGGTGAATTTTCTGGGAAGTTCACTTCTGGGACAACAGACTGTTTTTTTGCTTTTTTTTTTTTTTTTTTTTAGTTGTGAAAAATAATAAAATAATAATCATTACACAGGTGTAATGAAGTCACTCGTCACTTGAACCAACACGCAGCAACCAGAGCGTAAACATGGAGATAATTAACACTGCAAACACAGAAACAAACCCTAAACCCTAAAAACCCAAAAGCATGACAGGATCTCTGCCAAAGCTGATGGTGGAGGTGCAGAAACCCCTCATGCTGTGTAGAATGATACAAAAACATCTTTGTGCAGATGTGAAAGCACTGTGGTATGACAGCCAGAAGAATTGAAGCGATTCAATGGGTCGTTGTCAGGAATTTCAGCAAAGGCCCAACATGGCTTTTCAGCTTTTGTGTTCTGGTTCTTAGAAATGTTCAACGGTTTAACGTTGCAGTTTAAAATAAAATAGAATAGGATAAAAAACATCTCTCTAAGATGATCTAACCAGTAAGTCCCTTTTTGACACAATGTTTTTCACAGCCTTTTGACTTGGTGATAGCGAATGAAAACAGGATACAGCACCATTGTACCTCGCTTTGTGTTTGATAAAACCTCAGAAATATTCTTTCTTTCAGATGTTTATAGTTATGCGTCTTCAGCTGGTTGGCCATCGGCAATATCTGCCTCCATAAGAGAAAGAAACAAGATAAGACATGAAGGACGGAGCGCCTCATACCTGAACATCACTCAGATGAGACGATGATTATTGACGATAATGGCATTCCTTCAGGCTCTTCTTCCTGAGAGCTTTTGAATATATCTATGGTGACAGGGCTGCCATTGTGTGAGGCTTTACATCGTACAGGAGGGAAATGAACATGTCAAAATCCCTTTGTAACTTGTGGTGAGAAACCATTATTTTTCAGGCTGAGGAACCAGCCTGAAAAATAACTTCATACCATTATGCTGTCCCTGATTTATTTGTTTAAACACAAAGAAACAACTCACACAGGTGGACAGACACACATTTGCTCTGCTTCCTTCTGCCCTATCGACCTCTGACCTCTAACTACTTCCTGGCTGACTGCGTGCAGGTGCTGGGCTGAGCTGGTGATGGGGTCGGTCCTGAAACACCATTCCGTGCTGCCAAAGCCATTAGGAAGGAGGAAGACCCCCACTGAGGGCAGGTCAGAGGTCATGGGGGTCAAGAGCAGACAGGAAGGATTTAATGTCCACATCTGGGGCTGCACTTGTTCAGAGATAAAGTTTTATCTACACTTACTACTGGAGATAGATGCCTCGACACAAAGAAGCCTCTCTTGTAATCCTGTTTATGAATGATGATGTTCAGAGAAATGTTCTGTGGCAGGCTGTGGGTCTGAAGAGGTTTAGGCTGTTTGATAGAAACGAGGTAGAATGATTTAGTAAAATGTGAACTAAACAAAGTGAAAACCTTTGAATCCAGTTTTTGACTAGTAAAAATAATCAGCTAAGCGAATTTTTATCTGTTTAAATATTTAAAGGGGCAGTATGATGTTTTCCAGGCACATAGTTCCATTTTATAGCACAATAAAGTAACTATGTTACTCTCGGTGTTATAAAAACTCTGCTTATATATGACTTAAAAGAAATTTGACTTTGTAATTTAACGCCTTGAAATTGGGCCTCTGTCTCTTTATAAACTTCTGCTATTCTGAAACTCTGCCTTCAGGAAGTCATCACTACATGACTCCTCTATTAACCCTTTTACAATGTTTTTTTTTTTTTTTTTTTTTTACCAACTGAGAAGTAGCTCCTATAACGAGCACATCAGATGTTCAGTTACACCAGGTGTTTGCTAATTGCTGCTGGCTAGTCTGAAGGAGCTGAGTGAGTAAGGAAGCAAGCATGCCTACAGGAAATGTTTTCATATTTTTCATAAAATTAAGAAAAATATGGGCAACCCTGACCATTCTCTTGATGAGACTGTCATAGAAAATCAGAGCATCTTCGATCAGAAGCTTCTTCAAATTCGATGCAATACAGATTGCTACAGGAAATATGTCCTGCCCACAT